TCTCAAGTTCGAAACCCACTAGGTGCAAACAATTTCTGAGGGCCATCGGACTGGGTAAAACCTGAATTAACCGTGGTGCACTTGCGGGAAACTCCTTGCCGAGGGCCTGTGCACCCCCGGGATTAGTCGGGGCTCTTAGAGACTCGGACACCCGGTGCAAATAAAAAAAAAAAAATACCCTAAGATCTTTTACTATGAATCTCCACAACCACTTCCCCAACAAAGCTCTGTTGAATACCCTAAGATCTTTTACTCCAAGTCCACCCCACTTCTTTGGGGAAGTGACTGTCTGCCAATTCACTAGATGAAGCTTTCTAGTTCTATCCGCCGCATCCCAAAGCAAATTCCCTTGAAGCCGCTCCAATTTTTCTGCGATGCTCACAGGAGCTTGCAACATGGACAAGTAATAGGTGGGCATACTCGATAAAGTGCTTTTTATAAGCACTTCCTTACCGCCTTTTGACTAGTACCGTTTCTGCCAGCCTGCTAATCTTTTTTCAACCCTTTCGATCACTGGATTCCAAACCGTAGTATCCTTAAGTGAGACCCAAGTAATTAGTGGGAAGAGAGCCCACCTTACATGTGAGAACATAAGACAAATCATCGATGTTAGCAACCTCACCCACCGGGAAAATCTCACACCTGCCGAGGTTGATTTTGAGTCCTGATACTATCTGAAACCACAGCAGGACCTGCTTCAGGTAGGTCAACTGATCTATATTGGCATCATAGAAAATCAGGGTGTCATCCGCAAAAAGCAAATGAGAGACTCTTCGGGCACTGAGCGCCCCGGCGGAGCTGAGAATCCTCTCAAGAAGCCTCCGCTTGCCGCACAATTCATCATTTTACTCAGAGCATCTATCACTAGAATGAATAGCATGGGGGATAGGGGGTCACCTTGCCTGAGACCCCTGGAGCTGCCAAAGAAACCACACGGGCTATTATTAACCAGGACAGAGAATCTGATTGAGGAAATGCAGAACTTAATCCATCCCCTCCATCTTACCCCAAACCCCATCCGCATCATAATGAAATCCAGGAACTCCCAATTGACATGGTCGAAAGCTTTCTCAAGGTCCAACTTGCATAGTAATCCGGGTTGTCTATTTTTCCTTTTGGAGTCTACAAGTTCATTTGCCACCAAAGCAGCGTCCAGGATCTGCCTACCTTCCACAAGCGCATTCTGGGAGGACGAAACAGACACGTCAAGAACCTTCTTGAGTTTTGATGGATAGCACTTTAGAAATAATCTTGTAAATGCTCCCCACGAGACTAATAGGCCTGTAGTCTCTGATACATGATGCACCTTCTTTCTTAGGCAACAACAACAACAACAACAACAACAAACCCAGTTTGATCCCAACAAGTGGGGTCTGGGGAGGGTAGTCTATACGCAGACCTTACCCCTACCTAATGCAGGTAGAGAGGTTGTTTCCAATAGACCCTCGGCTCAGGAAGGGAAAAAAGAAGAAGAGGAAAGCAAGGGAGGAAGAAAGATGGAAGATAAAAGAAAAAGGGAGAGATAAAGGATAAGTGGTACCAAATAATAGCAACAAGGAATACTATACCTGAGGCGAACAAAACCACATAACATAATAAAATCTAAGAATATGAAGGGACATGCATACTACTAAGACTATCGGTGAACAACTATAAACTATCTACTAACCTTCTACCTTAATCCTCGACCTCCACACTCTCCTATCAAGAGTCATGTCCTCAGTGAGCTGAAGCAGCGCCATGTCCTGCCTAATCACCTCTTGCCAATACTTCTTAGGCCTACCTCGACCTCTTCTCAAACTCTCCATGGCCAACCTCTCACACCTCCTAACTGGAGCATCAATGCTTTTTCTCTTAACACCTTCTTTCTTAGGCACAATGGTAATAAAAGAAGCATTGATACTTCTCTCGAAAACACCATTCACGTGGAAGTATTCAATGGCTTCCATCAAATCCCCCTTAATGGCGTCCCAATAGAGCTGGAAGAAGGCCAAGGAGAAACCATCAGGCCTGGGAGCCTTATCACCAGCACAACTCGACACAGCCTCGTGATAGCCCTCTTTAGCCACTCATTGTCTCCCTTCCCTATGTGGTTAAACTCTATTCCCCCCAAAGTAGGCCTCCAAGTAACTTCCTCTTTGTATAAGTTCTCATAAAACCCCACAATCGCCCCTTTTACCTCCTCCCCTCCCTCAATCCTCACCCCATCCACAACTAAGGACTCTATGAATCTTCACATATAATTGGTCTCGATTTCTTAGTTTTGTGTCTCTAAGAATATTAAACTTTTATTATTTTATAATTTTAAAGTATTTATGTATTTATTTATGAAGGAGTAAATTTTAAATTACTATAATGTAATTTATTGATTATTATTTAGTTTTACGAAGGTAATTATGTATAGTTGATAATATTTTTTAAAAATTTATTATTTATTTAAAAGTTAAGACATTATAATTGATTTGTATCTTATAATAATTTTAACACCATTGCATTATTTATACTTGAAAAAACATGTTAGATATTTTATTTTTTACGAGTTTTTTTATCTTTTTATTTAATTAAATTTTTTATGTACTTTTTATTGTCCGCATTATTATACTATTTTGTAAATTAAAGATTAAAATATGCTGTTTATTCAATAATAAAACTAGTACCTGTTAAATGTTGAATTTAAAAACAAAGTAAACAAAATTAAAAAAAAAATATACAAACAGAGACCATATATGTTTGCATAATTGCTAACCTAAAGTTAGCGAATTGTTAGACCCCAAACGGCCGAAACCTCAAAGCCCTAACATATTGGGGATTCTAAAATTGGCTCCATCTTTTACCAAACTTAGTCTAATTTTAGTCAAATTTGATTTCCATCACCGCAATATATTCCCTCTCTGCAAATTGTGGTTCCGAAAAAAGCTATGTATGGAGAGTATGAGAGATTTAGAAGGAAAAGATTTTGGCGGTAAGAATTTTCGGATTCCCTCTTCCTAATTCTAAAATTAAGTTTCCTTTATTAGTTAGAACCCAACAACCTAATTTTGCATTACGCTTTGGCAATTTTATTGGAAATTTAAGAAAACAAGGAAAGGGAGGCAAGCTATTGGAAGAACATTGATGTAGGGTTCAGACTCTTGGTGAGGCTTTTGCAGGTTCTTATCTGTCTTCTGTTTAATTTAATATATACTATGTAAATCTAATTATTTATAGTCTGATAGTTAAAAAAAGTATTTTTGTGTTTGATTTAATAATCTCCCTCTTTGTGATAGGTTTTCGATGACTCACATGAAGATCACCAACAATCATTATCACCGATTTCAGTTGTTCACAAAAATAAGGTGAGTTTTAGATCAAAGTTACGAGTTAATTGCCCATGTGTTATAATCTCATATTTGAGAAAAATTTGTGGGTGTTTAGCTATTGATATATTAGATATATAGCAAATTACGTAGTGTGGCTATAACATATTTGAGTTGTAGTGCAAACTTATTTCGAACAGTAGCTTTATAGCTCACTTAGAATGCATTTGTGGAAAACTACATTCCTACTCATCTCCACCATTCCTTTATTTCTCTTCTATTTAGATAAATGCAAAATCCAGTCTTATATCACCATCAGATTAATTATATTTATTCTTATTTATTCTATTGATTGGAGAATTGAGATTATCTTATAAATTTGTGAAACTCAGTTCTTTTCGGTTACTAGTTTTTCAGAATGAGAGTTATAAGTTGTAGTTTTGGCCTGGCTTATTTCTTTGTAATTTTTGCCTCTTCAGCTTTAGTTTAGTTTGAAATAAGTTCTGTCATTGTTTGATTGAAGTATGCTTAATTGTAGCTACTTTTTTTAATTGATGTTCACTTGTCTGTAAGCATTTTAAGAATTGATGGGTCTATATTGGATGATATCTTTGTGATTTGTAAATAGTGACGCTTTTAGTTCAAAAGAACTTTTACAATGTTGTCACAGAAGGAGCTCTAGTATAAATGTGCTGTCAATGTTGCCTCCAAACTTTTGCTTGTAATTTAAAGTTCTTATGCTATTTTTGTAGAAGTGTGCGATATTTTGGGTCTATATAGGCTTCGTCTTGTTGATTTTATCTTGTATTCTATATAGGCTATTTATTACATACTTTTAATTCTCTTTGCAGAACTTCTGAAGGATGTAAGATCAATTATTGCAAGGAATACTTGGCTTGTGATGGATCCGTAAAGCCTTGCTTCAGAATTTATTCTAGAATTTAAGGGAATTCATTCAGATTAGAAGTGAATTTGACATAGTTCCATGTTAAAATTACTTTATCTTTTATGATTTAATTTGAATTACTTTTTATTTGAGATTCAGGTCATTTGATTTGAACTCTTAACTTGTAAGGAGAACCCTTATTATGTCAGTTACCATGTTCTTCAAATACAACGTGAGAAGAAAATTTTTATTTTTCACATTTGTTACATTGTGTGTAAAGATTGACATTTATGAATGTACGAATCAAATTAAAATGTATGAGTCACGATGAAAAACTAAGTAAAAGATTATTATTTATATTTGAGAAGTTTGATATGCAAATTTCAAAGTGACATTTTAGAAGATTTAAAAAAATGTCATTAATTTATTTGACATTCACCTAAATGTTGTAAATTTTTTATTGACAGTTACTAAAATGTCGTAAATTATAATGCGACATTTCTTAAAAGATGTGAATAAATGTCATAATCATTTTACCAACATTATTCTAAATGTCAGCAATTTTAAGTGAGGTTTCAAAAATGTCATAAATAAATGTCGTAAATTTCTTACCGACATTTATGCAAATGTCGGAAAATTCCGACCCCAAAATTTACGACATTTGATACAAATGTAAATTAAATGTCGGTAAATAAATTTGTGACATTTAAGCAGCATTATGCGACATTTATTTAATGTCGTCGTATCCTTACTTTCTTGTAGTGTTGTCATCATAACATTTCTTTGCCTCTCATATTATATATAAATAGATTCTACTATGATCAAACTACAAATTATAATTGCAACTAAATTAGACTAAGAGTAAATTGCTACAAATTGTATCTAATGGTTTAAAAGGCACTAGGGTAGTGACCTTCACCTAGGTGGCTAATTGACGGATAATTGCATCTAAGGCACAATTGACATGATTGGGGAAATATGGTATAACCATTGCTCAATACTACCCACTCTACACCTCTCGGTAGAAAGAGTGATTTTACCCAATTGACTCTCTCGAGACCAATTGGGTATGCATGTTTGCCCGAGCAACTAGGGTTCAAGTACGGTAATTACTCTCTTGAGGTTTAACCCTTTAATTGGGACTATCAAATCTCTTGAGTCCATCCCAATTCCTTGTTGAGTCAATTTTGGAGATTTAGGCTCTCTTTCTCAAGAAGAGCCAAGTCAACTTAGCACAAACTAGTGTTTGCAACCACTAATTCATAAATTAAACCATAAAATTGACCCAAATAATAAACACCCATAATCAATCTAACCTTAAATCACAACACCCATCAATTACCCACACTAGGGTTGAGCCACAACCCTAGCTAATGGGTTTAGCTACTCATGCTTGAAGATAAAATCAAAAAAATAGATGAAGAGAAAGACATAATATTAAATTACTAAAGTAAATATAATGATTCAATTGCTAAAACTATGTTAAAGTGCCCAAAATGGCTACAAAATAGCTTCTCACGAGCGCAGCTAATGTCTGATAATAACTGGTTACCCTAAAAATGGAAACATATTCTATTTATACTAAGCTGGAAAAACTGGACAAAAATGCCCCTGCGGGGTCAGTGCGGGCCGCACAAAATGGACTGCGGCCGCACTAGGCTCTTGGACTTGAAATCTTGGCTCTCTGAACTCAAGCTTCGCGGACCGCGCAGAATGGACCGCGGCCGCGGAGGTCTCTAATGCGGTCCGCACAAACATGACCGCGGACCGCACTGGCTTGAACCTTGGCAAATTACATCTCTCTGAACTTTTCTTCCGCGGACCGCACAGAATGATGCTGTAGCTGCGGTGTCTTCAGTGCGGACCGCACAATATCTACTGCGGCCGCACTGCTTTGATGCCTTGAAAAACCAGTCTCTGAATCTCCCTACTTGTGCAGGTTTCATTCCTTTTGAGCCGATATTTGACATCCCGTCACTTTGTTGATCAAACCTGCAATCAAGCACAACTTATAAGCCTTTTGGGTCTATTTTGTAAGAATTTATACTCAAAGCGTAAGCAAGAAGGAGCATGAAACACGTCAAAATCCCTAGTTATCAACTCCCCCAAACTTAAGCTTTTGCTTGTCCTCAAGCAAACAAAATATGGCCCATCCCTTAAGGGAAAATCCAAAAAATTTCAGCTATCCTAAAGTAACCTCAACTAGCCTCAATTGGGACTAACAATTGCCCTCAATACAAACGGATCATTAACAACATTTTAACTTTTGAAAAACCATGGATCAAGTGCGACACAAGAGTATCAAGAGTTGACTCAACACATCAAGGAACTCTTTCAATTACTTTGGTCATTGTGGAACCCAAACTCACACTTACTCAACTCTCCCTAAGCAAACCTCACCTTTAGAATAGTGGCACATAAAACGAAGTTAATGGGAATTCACTCATCTCTCTCAAGGAAAGGTCACAAATCCGGCTCTAGGTACTATATACTTGCCCCTTATGTAAGTATCCACTAATGTAAGCTTCATTCAACTCAAGATCATATAGGGCTTTTGTGGAGTCATTGTGAAGGCTTTTGGTTTAGGGTAGGTCATGTTTTTGTTCAAGTGGGTTCCATCTTCCCTTAAGCACTTCTTTTGATTCATTTGGCACAATTCATTTGACTCTTTGAGTCATTTCACTTCTTTCTAAGGGGTTAGAGAGACACATTGTCACTCTTTCTTATGCATTTCAAACCTTTTCTCCTTTTTCAACTTTTCACACCTTTCTTTCTTTTTCATTGCTTTTCTTGAATCCCTTTTTATTCTTTTTCACATTGATCTTTCTTTTTGACTTCTTTTGCTTTACTTTCTTTTTCATTGCCTTTCCTTTTCTTCACTTTTGTGCCTTTTTACCACTTTGTTACAATCCTCGCCTCTCCCCCCAAACATATACTTTTGCCAAGTGCTAAAGGAAAGATTTGGGTGCCAAGAGAGGGTATCTTTTAGAACGGGTATAGGCTTGTATCATGGTTCTTGAAAGAAAAAGGTCTAAGGCTCAAAATGGTTGACTAGGGATATTATTATTGGTAGGCTATGGAATTGTTCAATCTATCATTTGGATCAAGGAGAGCCTATAATCACGCCTCAAGTCAAAATTCACTTAGGATTTCGCCTCAACAAACATTCAGGGCAAGTTCTAGACCAATGGCTCGGGACTTGGACTCATAATTCAATTACTCACCACACAGGATGGGGGACTGCTAAGAAGATAGAGTCGGGGGCCCACGATGACCTTAGATACTATTTGAGCACACAATGGTCCCGAAAAACCACTTGATGATTATCTGTCAATACAAGAGTCTCAAGGCCACGACTTTCACCATCCTAGACACAACAACTTGTTTTTGACTATAAGATCAAAGGCAAATGTGCTAGGCCCAAGTGAAGCTTTGCTTGAGGTACCCTTAACTACAAACTACTAAAAAAAAAAAGAAAAACGGACTCAAACCCTTAAGAAGGTTGTCACGCCATCTATCATTGGGAAGAGCCACCCGGTTCACGCAACACTTCACCTTTGGAAAGAACCGTGGCATTAAGAAAACCAAAGGCTTATTGCTAATTTCAAAAACAAGAAGCTACGAATCACAAATAAGAAGCTAAAAATGAAAAAAAAATTGCGAAAAATAGAATAAATATATACAAGAGGGGATTTGAATATACAATAGACGTGATGAATATATACAATGAAATGTAACTTTATATACAGACCAGAGGAAAGATAAAAAGTGCGATAAAAGTAACTAAAAATAAAATTATACACAGACCAAATGAAAATAAAGAAAGCATAAAATGGTATCAATATATACAGTCATCCAAAAACAAAAATGAAGGGCGCAGCCTCTCGAATAAAAGCTGGCATTGTCCTCAATGCCAACTAATCCAAATAAGCATCAAAAAGAGAGAAAAAGGATATAGAGGGCTCCCTAAGACGTGTCTGTCTGCATCGGATCATGGGTGATCCCTGGGTCCTCTGTGTGCTCAGGAACCTCAGACTGGCTCCTGGTGGTCTGCTCTGCTGCTACTGGGACCTGGGCCTGGACCTGGACAGGCTCTGAAACTGGTACATCCTGTGGCTGACTAAAGGAAGCCTCCGGTGGGTCCGCCAACTGGATGATGACATCATCTGCTCTAGGGATCGTCCTCCTCCTCTTTGGAGGCCTCTAGGTTTGCTCCAGTTGTGGCTCAGCTTACGGAACTGGGTCCTCAAATAAAAGGTCTAAAGGCAGCTGGTCGGCCTTCAACTTGTCAATATCTGCGCGCAGCTCCTTCACGGACTCCTTGGAAGCCCGTGTCCTTCGCAGCTTCTTTTGCTCCTTAGCAAGCTCCTTGAGAGCCTTGCTATGCGAATCAACTGCCTTTGCCAAATGCATCCTGAGTGTTGAGGATTTTCTTCTGGTTCTCAAGAATTTCCTTCAAAGCATCCTCTATTGATTGTGGGACCTGTGCTGGCTGAGGTGCCGACTGAGCTGCAATGGTGGTGGTCAAGGTGGACAACTTGGATGAAGCAGTATACATCCAGTTGTTGATACTCTGAAGCGTCTGGCTCAATCGGTGGGCAGTGATAGGATGAGCCTGGGAAGATGGGATCTCCGGGCCTGCTGATATGGAAGGGCCAGGAGGAATGGCTGAAGATGCGGACGGTCAGGGAGGCAAATCAGCAGCAGTGGAAGTGGGCTCAGCAGGGACCTCTACCACAACTAGCTCTTCAGACAGGCCAGTTGGGGCAGAAGTAGGGGCTTTGTAGTTCTTGTCCTTGGGGTTGTCATTCCCCTTCAAGCTATACCAGGAGAACGGGGCTGTCGCCTTGACCTTGATGTCGTAGGGCTTCTTGTCCACCTCCAAGTCCCGAAAGTACATAGTGAGGGTGCTAGGGAAAGGGTAGTTCCGATCATGCTCTGCTCCTACTAACGAGATAATGCGGGACATCACATTCCCCACATTTATGGGGTATCCCGCCATAATCGAAACAACCAAAACAGCCCAGTGGAGAGGAAGGGTTTGGTCATGTGTTGTAGGATCCAACCGGATGCAAACAAATGTCTCCCAACCCCTCGCCTCAAAATTCAAGGTCCTCCGCAATATTTTGACCTCAGCAGTCAACCAATCAGGAAGGGTACCTGGGATTGCCAGGTACTGAGCTAACCATGGACGGACCTCCTCGCCCATCTCCAACTTCTCCATA